AGGAGCAGCAGGGTCTTAGAGGTCCGGCCGGCCCGGCCCAGGCGCACGTAGACCACGCCGTAGCTGTAGTCGGTGGACAGCACGTGGAAGCCCTCAACCCCCTTCACTGGACCGGAAGAGAAGCATGGGGCCGCCCGATCAGGCCTGCACAGCAGGGGCCACTGGGAAGGGTCAGGAGTCTCTCCCACACACCCAACCCCCTTCCAGGCCTAGGCCGCGGGCACTTGCATGCTTTTGGGCTCTGGGACTGTAGCCTGCCTGCCCGCCCTGGGGACCGCTGTCCCTCCCATCCACCCAGCCCTGGGACAGAGGAGTGGCATCTCCCGGGCCTGTGGCCGTGAAGCCGGGTCACGCCCACCCCCAGGACTTTCTCTCCAGGCCCCGGGCCTTCATACGCACAAGGATTCCTGAACATCGCCTTTTTCCTATCTTTCCGCAGAATTAACGTGTGTGACTGGCACCCCTGTGACCTACGGGGGGCAAGGCGGGAGCCCTTTGTTGCCTCTGGTTTTCTGGAATTTTCCAGGTTGGAGCAGGGCCAGACCCACAGCTTAAGGGAAACCCTCGGAACTCCCACTCTCTGCCGAGTGCTCCCGTGTACATGGTGGCCTCTCCCAAAATCAGGCCTTGAATTTTAGGGGCAGGAAGGGTTTCGGGGCCGCAGAGATGTTCTGTTAGATGTGCAGACGATCATGGGTCTGGCTCCCCGCACCCCCGGCTCCCTTTCCCCTCTTGACGGGAGATGTCTGGGCTGTTTGTGGTCAGGGCTCCGTGAAGAGTGTGCTGGGCCCCCACCCCGGTCCACTCACCAGCTAAAGGCAAGGACCACGTTCAGCTGGCCGGCTTTGTGGACCTCCACCATCGATGCCCCCAGCTTCCTCCTGTCTCTGCCTGGCAAGAATCTCTGGTCCTCAGAGGTGACAGCCAGAATGTACCAGAACCCTGAAAACTGTGGAGAGCGTGCTGGCGAAGCTGCCCGTGCCAGGCTCCCAGCCGGGCCCCCAGGAACCCACCCAACGCTGACACTGGCCTGAGGCCCGGCCCGGGTCCAGCACCAACAGGCCGGCACAGCCCCTGCGCAGGGCCCCGGCTGCCCCTCTGGGCCTTGGCGGGCAGGTGCCAGGCGGGCTGGGGCCCCGAGGGCTGGGCCGTGGTTACCGTGTGCTGGAATTCCCTTCCTGTGCAAGGCCTCCCCCTTCCTTCCACCTCGGCCCCCGGCCCCATCCCTCTGACTTCCTGCCACAAACCCACATTCCCGGGCAGTCAGTGCCCACGGCCACCCCCGCTAGAACCTTCCACCTGCCAGCCATCTCGTTGTTCCGGAACACGCTCTGCTCGTTCAGCCTCTGCCCACCTAGCATCTCTGGTGCCCTGAGGCTGCACCTGCCAGGGGCCCTCGGCCCTCCCGCTACTTGCGTGGCCACCAGCTCCTCAGGGAGAGGCCAGGGACTGAAACGCTTTCCGCCCTCGGGGCACTGCCCCCTGTTCCAGGTTGGCCCTTTGGAGATTTTCAGGGAGTGGTCTTCCAGCCACCACACACACTGCGTCCCTGGCCCCCCTCGGCCTGCCTGTCTGGCTTGGGGACCGCAGGTGTGTGGCTCACCTTGTTCCAGTTGAGGCTGTGGGACTCCCTGGGTAGCTGTACCTGTGGCCGAGACCCCATAGCCAGGACAGACGGAGGGCGACGGCTGCCCAACAGTGTGAATGTGCTTGACGCCCCTGAGCTGTGCACTTAGAAGGAGCGAAGACAGTAAACCTCTGCGCTGTGTTTATCTTCCTACAACTTTGAAAAATGTCATAAAGACAAAAGAGAACAAACTTTGAAATGTTTTAAAAGAGAGCAGCGCCTCTGTGGACCGATCGGAACAACCCCCAGCGTGCGTCGGCAAATGAAACACGGGTGCCGGTGTGTGCCCGCCCACACGTCCCTAACACGGGCTACCCGCAGGGAGGAGACGGGCTGGCTGAGGCAGGTGGGGAAGGACCCCCACGGTACACCCTGGGGAACCCTGATTTTGAGCCATGCAAGTATCTTTCCTGTCCAAAGGCCAACGAATGAGATTTCATTACACAACAAAACGTGAGAGGCCCACTTGCCTCTCCTCCAACCCCTGATCTGAATGTGTGTCTGCAGGAGGGGCCTCAGCACAATCCACCTTTCCAAATCAGGGTCCGGCCCAGGTCCCTGGACAGAGATGCGCCTTGACACTGGCACCAGAAGGGGCTGCTGACCAATAAGTCCGATGAGCAGATGCCAAAAAAGGGGTCTGAGCCCTGTGGCATTCCCGTGGCTCCTATGGCATCCGTGGCTTTGCATAGGGCCCAAGGCCCTCCAGAGGCCCAGCTTCTGTATTTGGAAGTCTGATTCCACCAGCTTCACTGGGACCACCCAGCCACGTGGCTCTGGGGCCACACCATGGCCCGTGGGACCAAGCTCACCCACACCGTGGAGCTGCCATCCGACCCCAGACCTCCCCTGCCCTTGCTTGTCCCAAGGCCAGGCCTGGCTCAGGTACACCCGGGCCCCACATCTCCTGCAGGCAGACGCAGGAATGGGAGGGAGGGTACCTGGAGTCCCCCAAGAACCTGTGGTTCTTCAGCACAATCATGACCCACTTCAAGCAGTAGCTCGAGAGGGGTTTGCCCAGGAGGCCTCTCCCACCCCGGCATGAGTCCCACCCAGACACAGGGCACACACCTCACTCACCTGTGCCTGGAGGACAACATTTTCAGGTTGTTTTCTGGAGTAAGGGTCACCATGACGCCCTCGACGTTCTTCGTGGCCTTCTCCAACGCAAAGCCCTTCTCACCTGAGGCCACGGCAAGAACATAGCAGGACCCCAGAAGCTGGTGGAGGAGGAGCAGGTGAGGGGGGCCAGTCCCTCCAGCCCTTGGAGGCGTCCTCTCTCTATCTGGGAGCCCAGGGCCCCTTCCTCAGGCTAGCCCATCCCCCCATAGCCAGTGCCGGTCTGGGTTGGCTCAGGGAGGGTAACCCAGCAGGCTGTGTGGCCCCACGGGAGGGGCCTGGGCCCCTAGCACCAACAGGAGGGCTGTTACCGGCTTAGGGTCCAGCCTCCGCAGCCACACTGCCTGGGTCCTAGGCACTGAGACCAGAGCCAGCAGGACAGCCCGCAGGACAGCCCGCATCCTCCCAGAGATCCGCACGCCAGCACACATGCCTCGGGGCCAGGGGCGTGCAGTCCCCCCAGCCCCTGAAAACCCATTTATATGTCTGTGAATGGGTCACTGTGGGCGGCCACCAATCGCCAGGACACCATCCTGGCCTCTCTTTTTGCAAGGTGGGGAAATTACCCAAGGGCGGGTGGCATTATTATTCAGTGGTGGCCTCTGTGCCCTGTCCAGATGTGCTAGAGATCGGGGAGTGGGCCCCTGGGGAATGTGTGCCAAGCACACACAGAGCGGTCTTTGTCAACGCTGCCATGCCAATCCCTGCTTCTGTATGCTTCCTTCCACTGGAAGCTTCCAGAATGAGCATCCCAACCGCAGTCACAGCACCTCCACTCCTCCCTGGGGATTCAACACTCTTGAGCCTTGCTCAGTCTGGGAAGGCCAGAAACCCTGGTCCTTAACCCTGGCTGGCAGTAGGCCAAGGCCAAGTCCCAGGGGAGGCACAAACAGTTCTTCCAGACGCTGAAGGTTGGATCTTTTGTTTCAATCATTAAAAATAAAAAAAATAAAAAAATAAACCAGAACCCAAAATTTTTTGAAAAAGCTCCCACCCACTCCTGGCTTACCCATTATCCTGCTCTGTTGGTCTTGGCCTCCTGCCCCACCCCCAGTCAGCACCCAGCCCGGAAAGTCCTGTTCCATCTGTCGCTCCACTCCACCCGTCTGAACTTGTCCACCCTCTGGCCCACCTTGGCCTTGCTGCCTCCCACCTCTGCACTCCATGACCCTGGCCAGACAGCCCA